TTTTATGACAACACCACAGAGTGGAGGAAGCTACATGAGAACCGGAGTAAGAAATGTGGGAGATGTATCCATATTTGTTCGCTACTTGTGGTAAGTTTTGAGGACGAAACTTTCTTTAAGGAGGGTGGATTGTAATACCCCGCATTTTTTTTTATATATGTATATAAATATATAATAAATAATTGTGGTAAAACTGTAGATATGTGTAGTGATGTGTGTTTGAATTTGATAGATTGGAAAAGTAGAAATTTAAAATATTAGTGGAAATAATAGTTAAAATTTGGTTTTAATAAGTGAAAATATAAAATTTTAGGTCTTAGAACTTGTATTAAATAGGTTTGGTGTAGAAATATGTGTTGGAGAGGTTTGAGATGGATTTGGTTGGCTTAGGAATGGAAAAGGGATGAACACAGGACGTGAACAGTACACTGGTTGCAACTTCGACCTTGATGCAGTCAATATCTCACAAAACTCAAAACATGAAAGTTGTAGAGCTCTTTCTTAGCATTCCATAGCATCTTGAATCATCTCAATCGAAGCTCGGATGAGACAGTTATGCCCAGATAACGAAGTGATGTCAAAACAGCCCAATTAGCTTGAACAGTGCACTGGTTGCAACTTCAAGCCCGATTTAGACCTTAATGTAGTCAATATCTCTCAAAACTCAAAACATGAAAGTTTTAGAGCTCTTTCTTATCATTCAATAGCATCTTAAATCATCTCAATCGGAGCTCGGATGAGAGAGTTATGCCCAGATAACGAAGCGATATCAAAACAGTCCAATTAGCTTCGTTTTACATTTACCGTCTCCATTTGCATCCTAAATCAAAATATAAGAATAATGAGTACATGTAGGCTTCAAATAAGTATAAAAGGCTTTAAGAAGCACCCTTTATCACCTTTTATTTGCAAACAACGCAAAACTTCATTAATAGCCGGTTCGGATGGGTAAAATAAAAATTTTAGTGTTTCGGGTGTACGTTGACTTTGATTTTGAGATAAATTATAAAAATAAATATTTTTAGGTTAAAATAACATTAAAAATAAATCCAGAACGTCGAAAAACCTTAGGGTAGTCATATGGATCAAATTAGAGATTCTTAATGGTAAAATCGTAATTTTGGAGAAAACCAAAACAGGCTGTAAACAGTGAATTTCGGGGCTGAGGTGTTTTAAACCCCATTTGCCCTCATTTCTTTCACTCCACTCTCACCCCACACCTCTTGGAACCCTAGAGAGCATTAGAGAGAAAGAAAGGAAGGGAAAAACAAGAGATTTAAGGATAGATTCAAGATCAAAGCTCAAGTTCTTTCTACAAACTAAGGATTCAAAGTAGGAGTTTTCTCTCATTCACTTACATTGAGGCTAGGGTATTTATATACGTATGTTTTGGCTATCAATGGTATATATATGTGCTATGAAATTATCCTCTCTTAGGCTTTTTGCAAGTATTACATGTTTTAAACAAAGTAGGATTTATGGAGAGTGATGTATTTCCTTCATAAATGCTTTCTTTATTATGAATTTTGAAACTTTAGTGCTTTGTGTTGGGTAGAAAAATGATGTTATTGTGATCTCATGTATTTTTTTAGTTGGTTGTAGAATTGTTACATGATATATTTTGAGAATTTTGGATAGATGCTTGTAAATTGAGATAAATGTTGAAATTGTATCCTTGGTTGGGTTGTTTGTGATGCACATGAGTGAGAGGTTCCTTGTAAGGATGCTCACCCCTTCCCAAGAGATTCCCGGTAAGGATGCTTGAAAAACAATGTAGTGATTGGTGACAGGTTCCATGTAAAGATGCTCATCCATTTTCAAGAGGTTCCCGGTAAGGATGCTTGAGAATCAAAGGTGACCTAAAGGGGGGTGGAGGTTACCACAAAGTATGCCACCTACCGAAATAATTGCTAGGAATTGGTTATGACAATTGGAAGAGGGAGCGAGTGGAAAGAGTAAAAAAAAAAGAAGAATAGCACTAAGTCAATATTTCAAAATACTTTTTTACAATGGATATACATTGGTGGATAGGAAGAAAAAGGAGAATGATAGAAATAAGAAGAAAATGAACAAGAGGAATAATAAGAGAGTTGAAGAAAAAGGGTAAGAGGAGGAAGAAAGAGAAAGAAAAGAGGGCGAGGAGAAAATGAGAGAGGAAGAAGGATGGAGGAGAAAGAGAATGAAAACATGGAGGAGGACTATGAGAAATAGGAAAAGGGGGAGGAGAAAAATGAAAGAGGAGGGGGAGAAGGAAAATGAGGATGAGAAGAAACATAATGAAGGAGAAGGAGGAGGAAATAACCCAAATGATAAGAAAGAGTAGAAAAAAAAGGATAAGGAAGAGGGAAGAGAAAGGAACGAAAATGAGGAGAAAATAGAAGACAATGAAGGAGCATGAGAGGGGAAAGAGAAGGAAAATTGGGAGGAAGAAGAAGTGGGGAGAAAGAGGAGGATAAGAAGAATAAAGAAGATGATGAAAGGAAGAATGAGGGAGGAGAACGAGAATGATAAATAGGAAAAGGAGGAAGAGAATGAAAAAGGGAAGAATGAGGAGAAAAAAGAGGAGAAAGACAAGGAAAATGGGAAAAAGGAGTTTAGTCATCCGAAAGATTAAAATTTATGGCGACTCTGAGGAATATTGGTGAACTTCAAAAAATAAAAATTAAAACAGAAAAGGAAAATGGGAAAAAGGAGTAGAAAAAAGGAAAGGGAGAAGGAAGAAGAGGAGGAAAAGTTGAGGAAGATGGAGAAGAAGCAGAGAAGAGAAGTAACTCAAAAGATCAAAATTTATGGTCAACAAAAATGCTCAATTTGCCCCTAAAATGATTAATTTTTCTACATTGCTCTATCAAATAAATAAAAACATTGCAATGCGGTCCATCGTCTTATTTTCGTATGGTCATCCATCTACTTTGTACAAATAGATGAACGACCAAATGGGAAAAAAAAATGAGACAGTTGAATACATTGCAACATTTTTTAAGGGGCAATGTGAAAAATTAATCATTTGGATGTCAAACTGATAATTTTTGTATCTCTTAGGGGGCAAAATGGAATTTTTTCCAAAATTTATGATGGCTTTGATGAATATTAGGGATTTACGAGGAATGGAAACTAAAATAGAATCGGGGAAGAAAAAAGAGGAGGAGGAGAAAGAACCGAAGAATAAGGAAGAGAAGAACGAAGGAGGAGGAGAATAAACAAAGTCAATATTACACAGTACTCTTTTGCAATGGGCATACATTGGTGGAAATGATGAAGAAGAAGAATGAGAAGAATTGGAAGAAAGAGGAGTAGGAGAAGAGGGACAATAAGAAAGAGTAGAAGAAAAATGAGCAAGGAGGAGAAGGGAAATAAAAGGAGGAGAAGGAAGAAAAGAGGGGAAGAAGGATAGAGGAGAAAGAGAATGATGATGACGATGATGAGGAGGAAGAGGAGGAGAAAAAGAAACCGAAGGAGAACAAGAAGAGAAGAAAAAGGAGTAGGAAGAGATAAAGAAGATGGAGAAATAGAAGAGGAAGGGGCATGAGAGGAGAAAGAGAAGGAAAGGGAGGAAAATTGGAAGAAGTGAGGAGAAAGAGGAGGAGAATAGCACAAGTAAATATTACAAAGTACTCTTTTACGATGGGCATACAATGGTGGAGATGAAAAAAGGAAAATGATAGTAATAAAAAGAAAGTGGAGTAGAAGAAGAAGTGGTTTCTCTGGCTCAACATTTACTTGGTGTAATAACCACCAGGGATTGACTCAGATGTGGCAAAGAATTGATAGGGCATTGACTAATGTGCAGTGGGGTGATAGATTTGAGAAGACAGAGATTGAACATGCTGGTAGAATTCATTCTGATCATTGTCCCCTTATATGTAGATTATTGGAAATTTCTGCTCCAAGGAGAATATCCTATTTCAAATTTCTAGATGTGGACGAAACATCATACTTTCGCACAACTGGTGGAGGAAAAATAGGCTGCTAATTACTCCAACAATCCGATTGAGCTTTAGTACTTGAAACTACACTTGAAGAAATGGAACAAAGAAGTTTTTGGCAATTTATTCGAAAACATTAAGTTGAAGGAGAAGCAGCTGTAGCAAGCAGAATTAAGGGCGGAGGAAGATGATTCGGAGCTCAACAATCACGCTTTAAATAATGCAAAAGTGGAGCTGGTAGGAGTTCTACGGTTAAAGGAAATGTATTGGAGGCACATATGAAAGGGGCACTCGAAGGAAAAAGGAACACCAAATTGTACCATGCCATCACAAGAGGCAAAGTAGCAAAAAATTGAATTTCAAGAATTAAAAATGATGAAGGGAACTGGTTAGAGGAGGAAGATGCAATCGCTAGCAGTGCTGTGGATTTCTTTTCTGCACTTTATAAATCGAAGGCTCACATAATGGACCCTGAGTTATTTGGTCACATACCTAATTTGGTCACTTTGGAAGAAAACTTAAAGCTCACCTCCCCGGCTACCATGGAAGAACTCAAGTCTATCGTCTTCGGTATGTCTATTCAAAGTGCGCAGGGTGCTGATGGTTTTTCAGGTAAGTTCTTTCAAACTGCTTGGGAAGTCATTAAGTGTGACATTTTGGATGTTGTTAATTTTTTCTTGCAAGGCGGAGTGATACCACGATCAGTTAATGCCACTATTCTGTCTTTGATACCCAAAAAGGACATTCCATTGACATTTGCTGATTTTAAGCCCATTAGTCTTTGTAATTTTTTATACAGAATCTTCACTAAGGTGTTAGCAACTAGACTTAGTGGTTTGCTGCCTAAGCTTATCTCAAAGGAGCAACATGGTTTCGTCTAGGGCAGAACTAGGAGTGATAGTATTGTCCTAGCCTAGTTTATGATGAATGAACTAGACAGAAAGGTGGAGGCCGGGAATGCTATTGTCAAGCTGGACATTATTCTTCATCGGCTCAGGTTACAGACAAGCATTTTCAAACCCAAAGCTATTGATACTGCTTTTGAGAAATTTATGCTTCAATCTCTAATGTCAGGTTGTTTACGGTGGTTTGTAAGAGTGCTAAATGGATTTGTTGGAATTTCCCTCTACCTGGTTTTCTTAAACTAAATACTGACGGTGCCTCAAAGGGCAATCCAGGTCCAGCTGGTGGTGGTGTGGTTTTACGAAATGAATGGGGTCAAATGGTTCTAGCTGGTTCATACTACTATGGAACTTGCTCAAACATGGAAGTTGAAGTCCTTGCACTATTGGATGGTCTACTTCTTGTGAAGGATTATGGGTTAGAAGTCTATCCTTTGATCATAGAAACAGATACTCAGGTTCTTGTGGACTTGATCAAACAGAATGCTAAATGGTCTTGGAAATTTTGGCCAATCAAGGATTCTGCAACAATGCTTCTCATATTCACTCCTATCCTAATTCCCTTCATCTACATATGCGACAACTACTACTACAGGATCAGAGACAGATTAAATCTCTGCACTCTAAGGTTGAAGTCATCAACGAGGTGCTTTATGATGCAACATACAGATATGCATATCAGGTTCATTAAGGCAGATCAGAATTATGTCTCAATATGTTTCAGAAATGCATGCACATCCATCAAAATCTCAAACAAGCAATACAGTCTGTTTATACAGTCCAGTCTTATACATGATATTCTCTCCAGAAGTAAAGACGATCAAGAAGTAAAAAATATAGTAGGCACCTGGTTACCTCAGGATGTAATTGGATTCTGGTATTATTGGGGTAGTAACTTGACAAAATTTATGGGCTCTGTTTGCTCTGCTGAGGCTGCTATAATTCCCTTAATCTCTGTTCTATGGCTCAAAGGTATTCTGGATTTTGAGGTTTTCTTTAAGGCGGCCTTTCTTTTCTCTAGTGTCCCCTTCTGGCTACTCATCTAACTGCTTGGATCTAGTTTTCAATGAGTGTTTGCTGGACATTTTCTATTGGCGATTGTCTTTTCCAGGTTCTCAATTGTCTGTTCATGGAGATTTTTTGGTGTCTCCATCTGGTTGTTCATCTTGCCTCTTGGCTTTCTCTCTTAATACTCTGAAGCAACCAAAGACTACTGATGCTTCCGACTGTTGGGGTTCTTGCTCTTCAGATCTATGGGCTATATATTCTACAATGGTCTTTGCCGCTGCTTCATCTTAATCAGTGCATTTGGCCTCTCATTCTTCACTCACTGGCCATATCTTCTAACTGGTCAGAAGGGCTTTGTAACTATGGCTCTCTCTTGCTGGATATTCATCTTCTACATCGTCAAAATGGGGAAGAAATTTGCTCTGCAACAGTTCTGGTATAAGGCCTCCAAGGCAGAGACTCTCTATCTCTATGCACTTTGTCTATACAGGCGTTATCAGAGATCAGAGAAGCAGAACAGCATCTCAATATCGTCTCTTCATCTGCCAAACCAAATAGCTTATCATCTGACCTTTAGTTGTCCAAGGAAGTCGATTTATTTTCCTTATCTGATAGCTTCCCTCTCTGACAACTTAGCAACCCCACAGCTCAACCACTGTTCCAGCTCGTCACCAAGCTTAAAACAGCTGCTGCTCGTGGCTCATTCTGGATCCTCTCAGCTCAACATGGCTGCTGCTCATGGCTTGCATTGGTTCCTCAGCTGTCTCTCTCAGCTCATATCTTTCTTGAGGAAGCTGTTACTATCACCTCATTTAAATCATCTCGGCTGGAGCTAATACTTATTAATAGCATGCATAGTATTTATTTTATCTCATTATCTTATTGTATCACGCATGCATTTAGCTTGGTTTATTTTAATTCTTATTCTTTTAATGTAATTAGATTGCATCGAGAGGTAAAGTACATACGTCCCCCCTAGTTAAGTGTAATTTAATTTTTAATCAATAAAATTCCCCTCGCACTGTCGAGGTTCACCAAAAAACAAAAATGAACAGGAGAGAGGAGGGAAAGAGAAGAAGGACAAGAAGCATAATGAAGGAGAGGCATAAGGAGGAAGAGGAGCAAACAACCCAAATAAAAAGAAATAATAGAAGAAAAAGGTGGAGAAAGAAGAAAGAGAGGAGAAGGGAAATAAAATGAGGAAATAGATGAGTAGGAATAAGGGAGAAAGAACATGTGAGGGGAAAGAGAATGAAAATGAGAAAAATCGAGAGGAAAAAAAAGTGAGGAGAAAATGAGTGTAATGAGAAGTAAGAGGAAAACAAGAGAGAGAATGAGGGAGGAGAAAGAGAAGGATAAGAAGGAAGGGCAGGGAGAAGGAGAAGCAAGGGAAGAATAGTCACTCAAAAAATTAAAATTTATGGTGGCTCTGAGGAGCATTAGTGAATTACGAGAAACAAAAACTAAAACAAAATCGAAGAAGGAAAAGGGGAAAAAAGAGAAGGAAGAAGAGGGAGAAGGAAGGAGTAGAGGAGAAATCACTAGAAAGATTGAAATTTATGGTCAATTTAATTTTGCCCCTAGTATGATTAATTTTTCCACATTGTCCCCTCAAAGAAATAAAAACGTTGCAATGTGGTCTACCGTTTTATTTTCGTGGTTCGGCCATATGTTTTGTACCAAATCAATTAATTAGGAATTACAAAACAGACAAATGACCAAATGAAAAAAAAAAAAAAAAAAAAAAGATATGAGATGGTGAATCACATTGCAATATTTTATTTTTTTTAAGGGGGCAATGGGGGAAAATTAATCATTTGGGAAGCAAAATGAGAATTTTGTATCTTTTAGGAGGCAAAATGGAAATTTTCAAAAATTTATGGTGGTTTTGTGGAACAAAAAAACAAAATCGGAGAAGGAAAAGAAGGAGAAAGAACAGAAGGAAGGAGAGAAAGAAGATAAATATGGAAGAGAAGGATGAACGAGGAGGAGATGCAGAAGAAGATCACTAACACTACATCAATATCACAAAGTACTCTATTGCAATGGACATAAATTTGTGGAAAGGAAAAAGGAGGAAAAGAAAAAGAAAAAGAAGAAGAAGAAGGTGAAGGAGAGGAACAATAAGAAAAAGTAGAATAAAAAAGAGGAAGGAGAGAGGAGGAGAAAGAAGAAAAGAGAGAAGGATAGAAGAGAAAGAGAATGATGATGAGAAGGAGGAGGAGGGCAATGAGAAAGAAAATGAGGAAAAGGGGGAGGAGAAGAATGAAGGAGGAGGATAAGGAGAAAAAAAGAAGTAAAAGAAATAGGAAGAAAGAGAAGGAAAAGGAGGAAAATTGGGAGGAATGAATGAGGGGAAAGAGTAAGGAGGAGGATAAAAATGAAGAAAGAGTAAAAAAGAAGAATAGCACTAAGTCAATATTTCAAAATACTCTTTTACGATGGGTATATATTGGTGGAGAGAAAGAAAAAGGAGAATGATAAGAATAAGAAGAAAGTGGAGCAGAAGAAGAAAATGAAGGAGACGAATAATAAGAGAGTTTAAGAAAAAACGGAGTAGGAGGAGGAAGAAGAAGGAGAAAGGAAAGAGGAGGACGAGGAGAAAAATCAAGAGGAAGATGGAGGGAGAAGGAGGAGAAAATGAGAGAGGAAGAAGGATGGAAGAGAAAGAGAATGGTGATAAGGAGGACAATGAGAATAGGAAAAAGGGAAGGAGAAGAATGAAGGAGGAGGGGGAGAAGGAAAATGAGGATGAGAAGAAACAGAATGAAGGAGAAGGAGGAGGAAGAGGAAGAGGAGGAAACAACCCAAATAATAAGAAAGAGTAGAAGAAAAGGAAGGATAAGGAAGAGGAAGATGGAGGAGAAAGGAACGAAAATGAAGGAGAGAGAAGCAGCATGAGAGGGGAAAGAGAAGGAAAATGACGAAAATTGGGAGGAAGAAAAAGTGAGAAGAAGAATAAAGAAGAGAATGATAGGAAGAATGAGAGAGGAGAACGAGAAGGATAAATAGGAAGATAAGGACAAGAAGGAGGAAGAGAATGGAAAAGGGAAGAAGGAGGAGAAAAATGAGAAGGAGAAAGAGAAGAATAGTCACTTGAAAGATTAAAATTTATGGTGATTCTGAGGAATATTGGTGAACTTCAAGAAACAGAAACTAAAACAGAATCGGAAAAGAAAAATGGGGAAAACGAGTAGAAAGAAGGAAAGCGAGAAGGAAGAAGAGGAGGAAAAGTTGAGGAAGATGGAGAAGAAACAGACAAGAGAAGTAACTCCAAAGATCAAAATTTAGGGTCAATCCCATTTTGCCCCTAGAATAATTAATTTTCCTACATTGCCCTTTCAAATAAATAAAAACGTTGCAATGCAGTCCACCGTCTTATTTTCGTATGGTCATCCATCTATTTTGTACTATATCAACCAATCAGGAATCACAAAACAGAAGAACAACCAAATAGGGAAAAAAAATGAGACGATGTATCACATTGTAAAATTTTTATTTTTTAAAGGGAGCAATGTGAAAAATTAATCATTCGAGAGGCAAACTAAGAATTTTTGTATCTCTTAGGGGACAAAATGAAATTTTCCCAAAATTTATGACGGTTTTGATGAATATTAGGAAATTACGAGGAATAGAATCGGGGAAGGAGGAGAAGGAGAAAGAACAGAAGAATAAGGAAGACAAGAATAAACTAAGTCAATATTACAATGTATTCTTTTGCAATGAGCATACATCGGTGGAAATGAAGAAGGGGAATGATAAGAATAGGAAGAAAGAAGAGTAGAAAAAGAGGAATAATAAGGTAGAGTAGAAGAAAAATGAGGAAAGAGGAGGAAGGAGAAGGGAAAGAAAAGGAGCATGAGGGAGGAGGAGGAGGAGAAGGAAGAAAAGAGAGGGGAAGAAGGATAGAGGAGAAAGAGAATGATAATGATGATGATGATGATGAGAGGAGAAAAAGTAAAAGGAGTAGGAGGAGATGAAGAAGACGGAGAAATAAAAGAGGAAGGGGCAGGGGAGGAGAAAGAGAAGGAAAGAGAGAAAATTGGAAAGAGTGAGGAGAATAGCACAAGTCAATATTTCAAAGTACTCTTTTACGATGGGCATACATTGGTGGAGAGGTAGAAAAAGGAAAATGATAGTAATAAAAAGATAATGGAGTAGAAGAAGATGATGAAGCAGAGGAATAATAAGAAAGAGTTTAAGAAAAAGGAGTAGTAGGAGGAAGAAGAAGTAGAGAGGAGAAGAAAAATCAGGAAGAAGTCGAAAGATAATGATGATAAAGAGGAGCACAATGAGAAAGAGGAGGAAGAGGAAAAGAGGGAGGAGAAGAAACAGACTATGGAGTGATTGATTTGATCAATGAATATTCGATTCTTTCTTTAATGTAGAATCAATTCATAAGAATGAAGAGATGCAGAAGGAGGAAATAACCCAAATAATAAGAAACAGTAGAAGAAAAAGAAGGATGAGGAAGAAAGAAAGGAGAAAGGAAAGAAAATGTGGAGGAAAATTGGGAGGAAGAAACAGGAGGAGGAAAATGAGAGGAAGAATAAGGGAGGAGAAAAAGAAGGATAAATAGGAAGAGAAGGATAAGAAAGAGTAAGAGAATGGAAAGGGGAAGAATGAGAAGAAAAAGGAAAAGGAAAAGGAGAAGGAGAAGGAGAAGGAGAAGAGTAGTCGCTCGAAAAATTAAAATTTATGACAAATCCGAGGAACGTTGGTGAATTGTGAGAAATAGAAACTAAAACAGAATCTGAGAAGCAAAAGGGGAAAAAGGAGTAAAAGGAAGGAAAGGGAGAAGAAGTGGACAAAGGAAAAGAAAAAGAAAAAGAATAAGGAAGAGACGAATGAAAGAGGAGGAATAAAGAAGAAAAATAAAACTAAGTCAATATTACAAAGTACTCTATTGTGATGGACATACACTGGTGGAAAGGAATAAGAAGGAGAATGATAAGAATAGGAAGAAAGAGGAGTAGATGAAGAAGGTGAAGGAGAGGAATAATAAAGAGTAGAAGAAAAAAGAGGAAGAACAAGGGAGAAGAAAGAAAAAAAGAGAATAAGAAGGATAGAAGAGAAAGAATGAGGAGGTGGAGGACACTGAGAAGGAAAAGAGGGAGGAGAAAGAGGAGAAGAAAAAGAAGTAAAAGGAGTAAGAAGAGAAGCAGAAGAAGGAGAAATAGAAGAGCTTCGCATGGGAGGAGAGAGAAGGAAAAGGAGGAAAATTGGGCGGAAGAAGGAATGAGGAGAAAGAAGAGGAGAAGAAGAAGAATAAGGAGGAGAATGAAGGAGTAAAAGAAGAAAAATAGCACTAGTACTAAGTCAATAATACAAAGTAATCTTTTACGATGGGCATACATTGGTGGAGAGGAAGAAAAAGAAGAATGATAGGAATAGGAAAAAAGTGGAATAGAAAAAGAAGACGAAGGAGAGGAATAATAAGAAAGAGTTTAAGAAAAAGGAATAGGAGGAAGAAGGAGGAAATGAGAGAAGAAAGAGGAGGAAGAGGAAAAGAGAAAAGAGATGAATGAAGGAGGAGGAAAATAAGGAGGAGAAGAAACAAAATTAAGGAGAGGGAGGAGGAATAACCCAAGATAATAGAAAGAGTAGAAAAAAAAGGAGGAAAATGATATGAATAGGAAGAAATAGGAGTAGAAGAAGAAGAGGAATAACAAGAAAAAGTAGATGAAAAAAGAGGAAGGAGGGAAGAGAAGGGAAAAAAGAAAAGGAAAAGGAGAAGGAAGAAAAGAGAGAGGAAGAAGGATAGAGGAGAAAAAGAATGAGGAGGAGGAGGAGGAGGAGGACAAGGAAAATAAGGAGAAAAGTAAAGAGGGAGGAG